TACTGACATTGTCAAGCTCTGGATGTGCCTGCGAAAGGTCAGACATCCGCCTCAAGAGCACTGGAACAGGTGATTTGCGGGACTCAGAGGCATCGGAGAAGCTATCTTCTTCACTCGATGAAGTGCTATGCCCTGATGCTGTAGCAATCCAGTCCCTGTGCGATCGAGCCCTATCAAGGTGACGGGACTTAGCTGGCGGAGCCTTAGGAGCAGGAGAGGACAAAATGCTCGACGCCAATGCCTGTTTTGATCTCTCAACTATTTCTCTGAAAGTTGATTCTGGCGACTTGGGGACGCTGGCATTAATTGGCAGGGTAAACACGTCCTGCAAGCCTTGCTCGTGGCATTCTCTTCGCCCATCTTGGTACTGCTGGCGAAGCTTGCTGGCAGTATCCAGACTGGGCGCACATCCCCTAACATTCTCAAGCTCATGTGCTTCAGGGACGTGAAGGGTCATCAAGTCATCGATGTAGCGGCTCCTCGCTTTCTCGCATCTTTCTTGCTCTTCCGTATAGCCCTTTTGGACACGCTTCCAGAATCTAGCCGAGGCGCAGGCCAAGATTCTGCGACACTCCTCCTCATACCTCTGAAAATCTGCAATGAGAGACTCGGCTCCAGGAACACATGGCAGGATCAGCGGCTCTGCCATATCTACGACCCACAGACAGAAGTTGATGACAATCACCAGCTCCATGCCGGGATCCTCACTGACTCCCGCGCCCTCCCAGTTATCCACAACATACTTGCCCTTGCTAAGAATACCCACGCCCGGATCCAGCTTACATTCGTCAATACACTGCCGGAGGGTATCACGCAAGGCCTTGATTTGCACTTCGTACCGGTTAAAGCCCTCATTCCAGACGCACCAGACGTCGTCGATGTATTCTGGTAACCAAGCAAACTGACGGACAAAGAGGTTACCGCTGTCAAAATCGAAACCCAAGATATAGGCCTTGTCAGCGGGAGCAGCAGGATTACCGCGAACAGGCAAGCAATTAATCAGCATAATAGGGTCGTTATCCTCACCGATACCGTTTGGATAATAAGTCTGTGGATCAGATAGCTGACTGTAAAGACAGGGACGGCACTCATCGCCATCAAATAAGAACATGCTGTTGCGTCTCGTATTATCGTCCATGCCTCTTTCGTTGTGAGCGAGGTACAAGTGATAATCGATCTTGTTCAACCCAAACCATGTCAGAATATAAGCTGGGGATTCGCTTGTCGGATATTCATCGGCATCAGAGAGTGCATCGACATCCACGCTTTCTTCGGCAGGTAAAGAAATGGAGTCTCGTGCCCACGCTGTCTCGAAACACTCAACATCGTGCATAGGAGGCTCAATCAGGACTGTCTGATCCACATCCGAAACGTGATCCAAGTCCTCATCTGTGGTGTGGGACCCTTCAAGTTCAGTAAGGGAAAAAGTGGCATTTTTAAGCTCCTGTGGATCCAATATTGCGCCTTTGCAACTCTTCACCAGTTTTGGTATCAAAGAGAGGGGCCCAACCTCGGAGCTTATGAGGACCTGGGCTGGCATGGTGACAAAAACAAACAGGATCTGAAAGCACTCGAGGACTGTTCATACAACAACCGCGAAGCAGCAGCAATGTGTCGACTACGTCGGGTGCTAAGGGATGAGCGTGTTCTGAAGCAACAGACCGTGATATATTAATCTGGAGGAAAGAAGGTTGAGGATATGTGGGTTGAAACAAAAAACGAGTGAATCGAGGCGACAACGAAGATGCTGTAGAATGGCCTGGTTTGTGGAGATTCAAAGTTCCTCTAGGAAGAAATAATATCGAGCAGATAGAGGTTCTCTGTGACAACAGAACTGGGGACTGTGAGCGAGGTGCCATTCACTGACACGTTGGGCTAGGCGAGTGTGTGTGGAGAGAGATAGGTCATCGCCAGGGCACCTCAAGATGGAAAAGGAACAAGACCCTACATACTGACGCGTTCTACAATTCGCATATACAAGTATGGATATAGCAATTGCATGAACTAAAAACAGATGTGGGACGTGCGCGTCGAACAGAGGAAAGGTGCCATGCGTACGTGCGTGGGAAAGGAACTATGGTGTTTATTTATACACAGACGAACTTGTTACTAGTGAGCAGGGGACAACCCCAGAGTATGTCCAGTCTACTCGTTCATATGCAGTCTATGTGTGGCTTTACCCATCTTTCCATTTATGATCCGCCGGGAAGTACCATGCTAAAGGGGTACCTGTCATACAACCAATAAAGCCAGATAGTCCTTCAGCGCAACAGAGGATAAAAGGTGATCACCGGGATAACTATTACTTAGGTGATGCGTTGTCCATCTAACCCCTGTCGCTGCCTCGAAAAGGGTACATCCAGAGAAAATAGGTGCAAGAACCAGACAACAACACCAAACTTAACTGGGACCCCCAGATTTACGACATACCTTATCTCTCTGAACGGAGAAAAAGTTCATACAATCTAACTTTCCAAAATGCGAAACTATAAATACACAGCTACCACTGGTTGAGCAGTAGCCAATAGCACAACCTTAAAAGAAAGAACCCAAGTGAGGTTAGGCTCTAATTCTTCGAAGACAGCCAGCGATACCACGTCCCACTACCATCAGGATGTTTCCGTTCCGTCTTTGGCCGACACAAAGCCCAGGAAATACCCGTCAAGTAACCACCCATATGGGCCCAGTGATCGAGTTTATGAGGACCACGTAGTCGTCGAACCAATGAGATCGCTTCAAGAGCAACCATGGTGGTGATGATGGTCCATCCGGGGACGGAAAGCATCTTTTTCCATTCTTCTGGGAGGAAGAAGAATTGCAGGTTTTCGCTGTGGGGTGTTAGTCATTTGGGATTCGAACAATAGGGGGAAAGGAAGGAGAGGGTTAGGTACTTGGCATTCAACGTGCAGTAAGCTGCTATGACTCCCGAGAGGGCACCACTGGCGCCGAGCGCGCTGACAGTCCATTGAGCCATGAGACAGTGAGCCGTGAGGGTGACGAACGAGCCGACAACGCCAGAGGCGATGTAGAGCGATAGGAACTCTCCGCGGCCGATTTCATCGTGCACTGTGAGCAGTAACACACTTATGTCAGTTTTGAATTTTGAGAATTCGAAGTAGAAAATAGAGGAGAATCACGCACACTTGGTTCCAATAAACCACAGAAACACCATATTCGAGATAAAATGTTTAGGGTACTGATGGCTGAAGATGTTGCCGAGGAGTCTCAGCGGAGGATTAGGGTTGGCGGGGATGCTGATCAAGTAACGGTTGAAGAGTCTCCAGCACGGAGGGAACCACCAGAGCGCGAAAATGGCAGTATTGATACCAATGATGGTGCCGACCGTTGCAGCTGAGCGAGGAATATTGGGCCATAATCTGTCGGAGGTTGCGGGCGGTTCGTAGTACATAGTGTAGGCGTAGCAGAGACCCAGGGTTAGGAGCAAGAACGCAAACGAGGGGAGAAGCCGTTGACGCTGTTTATGGGGTTAGAAAAGGCAATCATGCAAGATGATGAACTGAGAGACTTACCAGGGTGAGCTTGTTCAGATCAAAGTCCAAGTCCTCCGCAGCCATGTAATTCTTCTGCACCCAAGCAAGAACAGGACGCTGCTTGGGGTCCGCAAGTTGTCGGTCTGCACCCACACATAGTGTCAGCCATCCATCATTAAATCCAATGCTTCTACCATATTAACATACCCTTTGGCGCAATCTCCAACGCAGTCTTCTCATCCACATTCCTCAAAGCCAGACTATTCTTCTCAAAAGAGCGCCTAACCCTCTCATCATGCTGCATACCCCGAGACAACCACTCCTGCCGTTTCCTCTCCTGCTCAGCCAGCAAGTACGCCTCATTCTGCGTCCGGACTTCCTCTAACACACTCTTTCCCGACGGGTTATGCGACGCACCCGCTCCCCCATTTACATCAGCTCCATACTCCCCACCCTGCGGCATATACCGCTGTACATTTCTCGCTTCCTCCTCGTCCATTTCGCGCTCAACGCGGGCCAGAATCGCAGCATCTTCGTCGACCGGGTAGTTCGCACGGAGGTACTTGAGTGCTAGCTCGAGACTGCGCGGGTGCACGGAGCGGACGATATCAGCGGGGAGGTTTAGGTCCAAGGTGCCGAGGAGACGGCGGCCATGGAGGACGGCGAGGACACGGTTCGCTAGGGCTGGGGGAAGCTTGGTACGTGGACCAAAGATGGTTTTGAGTTCGGTGGTCGTGAAGGGTGTTGAGCGGGGATGAGTGCCTTGTTCTTGGGGTTGGTCTGGAGTTGTTGGGTGTTTCGCGCAGAGGGAGTGGGTGTTGTGGAGGGAGCGAATAAGGATGAGGGATGAGGAGGGGGCAGTTGGTTGTCTGGAGAGAGCTGAGGATTGGTTTGACCAGGAGCTTAAGAGACGTCTGGCGATGTTATCGGGTTGCCAGGGGAGGGTGTTTGTAGAGGCGGAGAGACGAAGAGGAGCGGAGGAGCGCAGCGGTGATGTTGATGTTGATGGGGCAAGCCAGCTCGAGGCGCGGAGCCCCGGGCATGGTATGCGCCAGGCTACGCCCAACGCATTGCTCATCTCCTGCAATGAGGGGTCCGGGAACCCGTATCACAATGGACGATGCTGTTGGATGTTGGTGGTGGATTCGATGGAGTGCGGAGAGAGCCGGATTTTCTCCGTCTGCCGAGAGAAATGTTCCGCAGTGAGACTAAAGCAGTATAGTTACTTGATGGTTGGTAGAGCTAGTAGTCTACAGAGTTATGTCTGTATTGCAAACATGGCGCAATGCAGATGCCACCTACGATATCAGCTCAATTGAGGTAATTGGAAAGAAATTATTAGTTTGTAGTATTGTAGTTCTAGAAAAGAAACATCATCCCGAATAGCCTCATGCACGTGGATCATCACGTGGAGATAACGCGATCACATTCCCTGGTCCGATAAGCTTCAACTGAACTTCCCAGACGAATGAACTTCTGGATTGCTGGAGAAACATCCTCATTCATCTATTCACTTGTCTCTATCTACCAAACCCTCTATCTCATCTTACATATACCCATCAAACGTCGACAAAACCAAGCAACCATGTCCGCCGAATCCCTCCCCATCAGCCCCGCTGCCTTCGCCGAAGCCATCAAAGAGCTTCCCCTCCCTGTGCTCTACGCCAAAGTCTCCGAGATCCGCAACTCCATGGCGCACCTCCACCGCTCCAACCAGGAACTGAGGACATTCATCAACGAGTCATGCGACACGGACTCCGAAAAGCAAGAACTAGAGGCATATATCAAGGAGAACGAGGACGTGGCAGTGTCTATGCTGGAGAGAATCGAGCTATTGAAGACAGAGGTGGAAAATCGGGGACAGAAATGGATTGAGCTGGATGATCCGGAGAAGGAGAAGGAGAATGGTGAAGGGACTGCCAATGGAAGTGAGAATGGAACGGTGGAAGGAACGGAGGAGGCGCGGAACCCCGCTGCGGGGAATGAGGACCGGAATCAAGATCACGATCAGGACGAGGACCCGGAGGGAGTTTATCTGTAGTCATGGGTCTCCGTCTTGGTGATGAATTCGAGACCAGGAAAGGTACAATGCGGCTTTTGAGGAATATCCATCTATCGCATACGGGAACTTCTACATGAGCAGCTCCCGACTACCTCACCTACCGCCGAGAGTGTCGCAATGTCGCATTTGCAGGCCATTTGAACCACTGTCCGGTCAGCCTTCTCAACTGAATACAGTTCAATTGGATACAGTCGAAGCGTGAGAGACCTCGCGCCGCTGATTGTGTCCATGCTAGTCGAACTCTAGTCCTTCCGAAGGAAAGCCCTACTTTATCATCATGCTGATTGTTCATAATCTCAATTTGGCTGATCAGTGTCATCTCCACGTCAGGCTAGTTCCAGGTAAATAATCTCAAAATGCTCTCGTCCAGCCACGATGCGCAAGGTTAATCTAGGCTACAAGAATCGCGTAGTCAGTGGGGGGTCCCACGACTGGATATGCAGGAAATCACAGGAAGAACATATTCACACCGCATGCTAAATGCTTAACGCCAACTCTGTGTCACGTAATCCACGCGGCGTCCTGAAGAAGTCAAGACACCATGAAACCGCGATCATAGGATCGAGTCGGTTCGTCTAATCCGATCAAAGGGTTCCAACGCCAGGTCGGACCGCTTTCTTACTTGAGGAAAGAAGAATGGGAGTTCTGCTGCGCCCTAGCTCAGCTAGAGGCTTGCTGGCCCCAGTGGCCACCTGCTAGCGCCTCCGGAGGAATACGCTGCTGCTTGATGAACAGGTCGATCAGGGGTTGCATGGGCTCCATTTCCTTATCAGAGACGAGCTTGTAGTACTTGGCCACCGTGACGAAGTGGACAAAGCACATGTTGAGAATGTCATGCTTGTTAATGTGCCAGAAGGGGTTCAGCCAGTGCGCGTGGTACAAGTGGGCGTAGCATCGGAACATCTGCTTCATGATGCCCTGGCAGTCTTTATAGAACGTCTGAGGGAAGCCGCTGGACTTGCCAATCCACTCCTCCCCGGAAGTAGCGCTGGGGCCGCCTGCTTCGTTGACAGCAAAGGTGTCTGGTACACCGGTAACCTTTTCCGTGGGGAACATGACCGGGTCGTGAATCTTGCTGACAATCCATTTCTCAACACGGTTGATGAACTTGGGGGCCGAGATCTTGGCGGCACGACCGTCGACCAGCCAGGTGTAGGTCAAGCTATCCGACGATGCCCAAGTTAGACTGGTTTCCGAATCTTGGACGCGGGGGAAAAAGCAACTTACCGACCAGCCGACATGGTGGGGCAGGTGTTCTCGTTACAGATCGGCAGTCCTGTAAGGCTATTGACCTCCTGGATAACCTGGAGCATGCCATGGAGCAAGCGATATTGTTCAACGACTGTGTGGAGAAAACGATCAGCGCGGGGGACTCTCCGAGCGGAGGAGGCAGCAAGTCCGCTTACTTTGATGGGCCAGCCATTCACCCAGCTCCACGTTCTTGGGACAGGCACACAACGTCAAGAAGTTACCCTTCACATTGAGGGGGGCATATTTCTCCTGGAAAAAGTACTTGGGAGCATCGGGGTCGTAGGTGGAGGAGGTGTCCACGGAGAGACTCGAGGTGAGGGACGGCGAGTTGGGCACATGGCCGGCGGGAGGCATCTGGGACGCCGGCGACGGAGCCGGACTTCCATTGTTCATCTTTGCGGGATTGTTATTGTTGTTGTTGTTGTTGTTCTTGTTGTTATTGCCTCTGCCAAACCCTTGGCGGCTGGGAAGGGGAAACAAGTCGCAAGTCAGTCCTCGCTGGTGTCCAGACGGAGATGTGGGGGGAAGAAGGGAAAAGGAGAAGGCGTCAGGAGATGAAGCCGCAGCGCTGAAACAAAGGACACAGACTGGTGGACGTGGCCACTGATTTCAGGGGGCATCATTCTTTTGGTGCGCCCAGGCATGTTGCAGCACTGTCCACCCAGAGAGAGCGCATGCGAGTGAAGGGTCCAACAGGGACGGGATGCATGATTAGGGGAAGAGGAGGGGAAGGCACATACACACTCTGGAAGAAGGTCGCCATGATGAACGGGAATACACGTGTGTGGGAACACTGACTAATCTGGCGATCAGGCAATCCGAGATAGTTCAGTGAGAGATCCGAGGGGATTGCAGAGGGGGGAGGGAACAATCCACGACGGAGTTAACAGGGAAAGAGTTGGGGAGGAAGTGAGGAGGAATGAATGAATGAATGAATGAGTTTGGGGATGTCCCGATCTGGAATTCGACTGATTCGGTCTGGCCCGTCCACCTGCCCGCCGCGCTAGTCCCGCTTAGGCCCGGAAGGGATCATTATATCTACCGAGGGGGTCTGTTACTTTCACTAACTCAACTCATAGTTTATTCAGTCTGAACTAGTAATAATTAACAGCTACCGCGCAGCTCCTCCCAGAGTCGCCCAGCCCCATTGATCGCACTTTGGCCCTGGTGTTATTCCTATTCTACCCTCTTCTCAGTCTCTCTTTTTCATACAGGGTCTTATCAAAAAAACAATCTCTCCGAACACTTAAGCTGTTCCTAGCACCAAACACAACTTCATCTTCGGCATTGACCGCACACCCGCCGGAGCTCTCTCTTTCCCACCCATAATGTCTTCTTCTGATGAGGATGTAGTTCGCCGTCCGGGGCGCAGCACAGGTCCCGGTCAACCAGGCAGTCCGTCTGCAAGTGAACACAGCGAGGCTCCGGCGCGAAGTCAGAGTCCCGCGGGCTCGGATGCGGGCAACGCGAACGGCTACGATGATGCGGATCTGTTTGGTTCGGATGCTTCCGACGGAGGATTTGGCGAAGATAATGAGTATGGCCCATCGCCTCTGTTGCTGGAGAGACATTCATTGACTGGTATACAGACGACCCCAGCGGACGCTCGACGACGAAGAACTCGATTCCGGAGATGACGTGGATCGCAATGATCGGGTTGGAGAGCCCATGGACTACGAAGGAGGCGCAGACTATGAGGAGACGGTAAATATCATGGACATGAGCTTGAGCCGGGCGCCGGAGCCTGTGACTTCGAACGGCGAGGTATGTTCCACAAGCATCCACCTGCTGCATGATTCCGGACTCACCATTGTCCATTCTAGGTTTACACAATGCCAGTACCCCCTTTCCTATCCGTTGAAACGGAAGAGTTCAACCCAGAGACCTATGTTCCACCTCCGTTTACGACAGCGGCCACGTCGCTCTGCTGGCGCCATGACCCCCAGAACGACTCGCTGCTGCAATCGAATGCACGAATCATCCGCTGGGAGGATGGTTCCATGACATTGCAGCTGGCGTCCGCGCCAAAGGAGCAGTACCGTATCTCGACTAAGCCACTGGCGCCTCTCAGCAAGTCTGGCGAATACGACACGAAATTAGATTCCCACGTTTATCTGGGAGCAGCCGCAGAAGCCTCTTCGGTCTTCCGGTTGACCTCACATCTCACCCATGGACTTACGGTCTACCCGACTACCGTAGAGACTGACGACGCCGTGCAGCGTCTGCAGGAGTCGCTCGCAGCAGCAGCCCGTGGTGGCAAGAAGACGCTGGACGGATCGGCACCGGTTATCGAAGTCAAGGAGGATCCCGAACTCGCCAAGCGGCAGGCAGAAATGGCCGAGCGCGAGAAGCTGAAGGCTGCTCGTCGCCGCCAGCAGCTTCAGGACCGCGAGATGGACCGTGGTCGTCGTCATGGGTTCACCCAGCGCACCGGCGGTGCTGGTCTCACAGTGGGTGGCTTGGAAGATGACGACGGTCTCCTGACGACCCGGCCTCGCGCGAAGAAGCCTCGCAGGCCGAACCGTCGGGGCGAGATCTACACCGACGACGAAGAAGAATATGACCGTCGCGGACGCACTCGCGAAGACGAATACGACGAAGACGATGGTTTCTTGGTGGGCAGTGACGAAGAACCAGAAATCGTCGATGATGACGACGAAGAAGATGTCTTGGAGGATGAAGACGAGGACGCTGAGGGCGAAGAGGAAGACCTTCCACCCGCCAGACCGCGACAGAAACGAGCCTCCCCCGAGGCTCCTGAGAGAGGCACCCCTCCAACCCGGAAGAAGAACCGCTACATTGTGGACGACGATGATGAAGAGTAACGGCTCTTCAATTCTAGGCCATATTGACATTCTTACTTGCTTCTTCTAATGACATTGTAACTGTATCATCCATTCTGGGAGTCATTCTTCGGGCGCATGCATGGTAGTCACCACCCATTCAATGTTATATTTTTGATATCATACCAGAATTTTACAAAATTAAGAAATAACCAACGGACTCGGCGATATGCAAATTTGTACATACCGTACCGCTAGATCTATCTACATTGCTAGTAATATCACAAAATCATCAGACTAGTCCCTCTCAAACAGAGATCGGAGTTTATAGTATGATTGTCATAAAATCGTAAGATTAGGCACCGTTAAATCGAACCCGGTGATGAGAATTTGGCTCCCTCCACCCATACAGCCACCTTATATCAATGAAATTCTTGATCAACGATGCCGGGTCTACTTGGCACCCGCACCATCCGGATAATCACTTGGGTCAAAACCAAACTTCGGAATGACATTGCGCGCGCTCTGAATGATGCGCATACACAGCGCATCCCGCTCATGGCACGATTCCTCCTCCTTGGACCCGTCTGTCTTTGGTATAGGTAGGTGACGTTCCTCGACAGGCAGCGGGTGCGAGCGATGCCAACGTCGCTGGCGCTCCTCCATTTCCTCTATAAGACCAAGCAGGCTAGGCCCATCATCTGCACCCGGGGGCATACCGGCCGGATCACACGGCCCTCCTAGCACACGGTATCGCACGGTTTGCCGTAGCCAATCCTTCCAGCCTTCCGTGGGGTTGGGGGAGGCATCAATTGCTGCGGCGTATGCCGGTGGTGCCGATTGTCGGCCGAAGTCGACGGCGTTGACTTTGGATATACGTAGCCAAGTATCGGCGATGACGGTTAATAAGGTGCCGGTGAAGGTGACATTTTGCATGCCTGTTGTGAAGCGGAGGGGACAAATTTGGCAGCGGATGACGGCCTGGGCGGTTCTGGATGCGATGTAGAGGGAGCATAGGTTGTGATGGGAGATCGGGAATGGGGCGAGAGAAGACAAATGGCTGAGACAGAGGTAGAGGCATGATAGACAAGGGCATTGGCGGTCGGATTCCTCTGAGTCCGGGGATGAGGCGGCAGAGGACTGCTGGAGCAAGGATAGGTCTGGTGGGAGGGTGTAGAGATTGGCTGCTGATGAAGAGACATTGGAGAAATCAGGCCATGGACTGACTGTCGTTGGAGCTGTATCTATTGGTTTGTTGAGGAGGAATTGCCCGGCGTCAACGTTGCTATTTGCGTCCGCAAAGAAGTTGGTCTGCCCCGTATAGTCTGACGGGGCGGTCTCGGCTGAGTCAATGGTTGATGGTACTAGGGAAGCAAATTCCAAGTTATTGGTCCATGGATCATTCCCTGAGAGTCCGAAAGGTGGTGATAGATCCTCATCTTCTCGCATACGCTTCTTCGGAGGCCGTCCCATCTGTTTCTGTAGGGAGTAGTGGCAAGTGAGGCTTTGTTTGACGCAGCGAGTGCAGCCAGTGGGCTCTCCGGAACACTTTAGCTTGCGACTTCCTAGCATGATGGAAATTGATTAGCGCCAGACATTTTCTACTTCAGCTTGACAAGAAGTCAGACATACTGCACTCATCACAGGCCGCATGTCTTTTCCCCCGCGCCACGCCTGTTGCGGCGTCACTCGTGGAAGCATTGCTTGGGTATACAGGGTGTGGCTGGCTACATTCGAGAGAAAATTGCTGGTGCATCATGCTGCAGAGCCAGCGTAAATTTGGACCGGCTTTCAACTAAGCCACGAAGGTAATATGATTGTTAGGTGGTTGATCTTAAACTTCATAATAATGATTGCTTGTTATCGATAAAGTTGCGTGCCTGAGGCCAGCGAGGGGATCGATAAGAGAGGCGGTGTATCACGTGGGCGGTATGCCTTTCCGCAAATCGAGGGCAGCAAAAAAAAAGTCGAAAAAGTCGAGCTTCGAATTCCTTCCAGCAGTGCTTCGATCCTGCACAAGATTCTGCCCACTCGGAGTGTTCCTTCGTCGCCATGAGTGCTGCAAAGGTTTCCAAGAAGCGCAAGGCTGTCACCAAAGATGTCGAGGAGGAGGCCGGTGTGTTCTCTGGCGACGAATTGAACGTCGGCGACATTGATGGTGCGCTTTCGGACGATGCCAACGACCTGTCGAGCGACGAGGAGGATTCTGAAGTTGAATTGGTTGACGACTTCAGCTCCGATGAGGATGACGATGAAGAGGAGTTGGACAGCGATGAGATCCCCTCCGACGGAGAGGCGCCTCTCAAGAAAAAGTCCGGCACATCAGCTGCGGACCTGGAAGTACCTACGAACGACGACGAGAGCTCCAGCGAGGAAGAGCAACCCAACTTCCGCATTGAAAAGGATGCCAATGGAAACGACCGTTACGTCTACGACGAGATCAACCCAGACGACAACTCCGATTACTCTGACGTCGAAGAGAATGCGAACACGATCGGTAACATCCCGTTGTCTTTCTACGACCAATACCCCCACATTGGCTACGACATCAATGGAAAGAAGATCATGCGTCCTGCCACCGGAGAGGCTCTGGATGCTTTGCTTGACAGCATTGAGATCCCCAAGGGCTTCACCGGTCTGACTGATCCCTCGACCGGTAAGCCTCTGGAGCTGAGCCAGGATGAGCTGGAGTTGCTGCGCAAGGTGCAGATGAACGAAATCCCCGAGGAGGGCTACAACCCATACGAGCCTTTGATGGAATGGTTCAGTAACAAGCAGGAAATCATGCCCCTTAGTGCTGCTCCGGAACCCAAGCGTCGATTCGTTCCCTCGAAGCACGAAGCCAAGCGGGTCATGAAGATTGTGAAGGCCATCCGCGAAGGTCGCATTCTGCCTTACAAGCCCCCGTCCGAAGAGAAGGAAGAGGACCTCGAGCTCATCAATTATGACCTGTGGGCAGACGAGGCAGAGCGCCCAGACCACCCCATGCACGTTCCTGCCCCCAAGCTTCCTCCGCCAGGCTACGAGGAGAGTTACCACCCGCCTCCGGAGTATCTCCCCGACAACAAGGAGCGCAAGGCCTGGCAGGAAGCCGATCCCGAAGACCGGGACCGGGAATTTCTCCCTACCGACTTTGGCTCTCTCCGCAAGGTCCCTGGTTACGGCGAGTTTGTCAAGGAGAAATTCGAACGTTGCTTGGATCTTTACTTGGCTCCTAGAGTTCGCCGCAGCAAGCTCAACATCGACCCGGAGAGTCTGCTTCCCAAGCTGCCCAGCCCTGAAGAGTTGAAGCCGTTCCCGTCTGTCTGCGCCACGGTGTTCCGGGGACACAAGGGCCGTGTTCGTTCTCTTGCCGTCGACCCCACGGGTGTGTGGCTCGCCACTGGTGGTGATGATGGCACTGTCCGCGTTTGGGAATTGCTCACCGGTCGTCAGCTGTATAGCGTCAAGGTGGGTGAAGAGGATCCTGTCAACGTTGTCCGCTGGAGGCCTAGCAAGGATGCCGTGGTCTTGGCTGCCGCCGCCGGTGACGATATCTACCTTATCGTGCCCCCGATTCTCGACCCCGAACTTGAGCAAGCCAGTTTGGATCTTCTCGACGCCGGCTGGGGATATGCCGCTTCTAAGCCTGCCCCGAAGGCCTCGGAAGAAGGCAAGAAGACTACCCCTCCCCAGTGGGTGCGCCCCTCGGCCGCTCTCGCCGACAATGGCGTGTGCGCTGTCATTCCCCTCCGCTACGTGGCCAAGTCTATCTCGTGGCATCGCCGCGGTGACTACTTTGTTACCGTCTGTCCGGGCTCTTCTACCCCGGCATCCATGGCCATTGCCATTCACACTCTGTCCAAGCACTTGACTCAGTACCCCTTCAGCCGGCGCATCAAGGGTGGTGGCCCGCCCCAGACCGCGCACTTCCACCCCTCGAAGCCCATCCTCTTCGTTGCCAACCAGCGCACCGTCCGTGCCTACGATCTCTCCCGCCAACTGCTCGTCAAGATCATCCAGCCCGGTGCCCGCTGGATCTCCTCGTTCGACATTCATCCGACCTCCTCCACCGCTTCGGGCGGAGACAACCTCATTGTCGGATCCTACGACCGCCGTCTGCTGTGGCACGATCTTGAACTCTCCCAGCGCCCCTACAAGACCCTCCGTTACCACCGCAAGGCCATTCGTGCCGTCAAGTTCCACCCTAGCGGCCGCTACCCTCTGTTCGCAGACGCCAGTGACGACGGCTCTCTCCAGATCTTCCACGGCAGTGTCACGGGTGACATGCTCAGCAATGCCAGCATTGTGCCGCTCAAGGTCCTCAAGGGCCACAAGATCACCGGCGAGCTCGGTGTCATGGATCTCGACTGGCACCCGCGCGAAGCCTGGTGTGTCAGTGCCGGTGCGGATGGAACCTGCCGGTTATGGATGTAATTATTATAATTGGTCTTCCTTGTGTGTATCCTGTTCAAATTTACATGGGAGGCGTTTTGGTGTGTGCATAACTAAATTTAGAGTTTCTGATATCCAAAAGTTCATTCACTCCTTCATTGGGTTGTTTGCAGTAGTAGTTCATACCGGTAGAAATTAGTAGTAGTAAGTAATCAGTGGCATCCTGGATTGAATATCCCTCAAAAGATCTATCATTAATCATCACTTTTTTTGGATCCCTCCACACTCTATATATGCACACAATGAAGAAACAGCACAGAAGAGATAATAAGTAAAAGAAACAATCCCAAGGTACATCGATGTATGTACACACACCAAAACACTGACTGAATAATCTAATAAGTATTTACACCACCCCACCACTCCAATCCCTCCTCAACTTCTCATACTTCTTCAAATCCGTAACACTAGGCCGAATGAACGCCTTGGCAGCGACAAAGTCCTCGAACTTGATACTATCCCGTCTCTTAATAGCCGAGTAACCAGCGCGACGAAGCAAACTACCCAGATCAGCACCACTGAAGCCCTCACACTCCTCGGCGAGTCTGCGCAGATCCTCATTGAACTCGATAGGCAAGTTCCTGACGAGGGTCTGCAGGATCTCGACACGCTCGAGCGGACTGGGCAAGTTAACGAAGAGAAGGGTCTCGAGACGACCGGGGCGCAGCATAGCCGGGTCGATAATATCGGGCCGGTTAGTGGCCGCGATAACGTAGAGGCCTTGACGGCTGCTGCCGAGGCCATCGAGTTCAGTGAGGAGGGTGTTGACGACGCGGGCGGAGGCTTCAGAGAGGGTATCGTCACGACGGGGGACGAGGGCGTCGAGTTCATCGAAGAAGATGACGCAGGGGACGGAGGAGCGGGCGCGAACGAAGACCTGGCGGACGGCGCGTTCGGATTCACCGACAAATTTGTTGAGGAGTTCGGGACCCTTGACGCTGATGAAGTTGGCGCGGGACTCGTTGGCCACGGCTTTGGCGAGGAGCGTTTTACCGCAACCGGGGGGACCCCAGAGAAGGACGCCGGTGGGAGCGGTGATACCGACGTTGGCGTAGATTTCGGGGTTCTTGATGGGCTCGACGATGGCGGTGGACAGTTCGTCGCGAATGCCACCGAGGGCGCCGATGTCGGCCCAGGTGGTGTCGGGGATGGTGGCGAAGCCTTCGCGCTTGGAGGAGGGTTGGATCTTAGGGAGGGCTGTGAAGAAGTCGGCGTTGGAGACGAGGACGGTTTGGGTTTCGTCGCCGATGGGTGTTTCTTTGGCGTGGGTGATGAGGCGGCGGAGTTCTTTGACCTTAGGGCTGATGATGTCGGCTTCGCCTTCGATCTCCATTTCCATTTCCTCGCCGCTGTTGGACTTGAGGAGTTCGAGGTAGCGTTTGATGGCGGCGGCGCCGGCGGTGGCAACGAGGTCGTTCAGATCAGCGCCGACGAAGCCGGGAGTGCGCTTGGCAAGGGTCTTGAAGTCGAGGTCGTCGACGAGACGCATCTTGCGGGTGAGGGCGCGCAGGATCTGCTCGCGGACGGGCTCCGAGGGGACGGTCATGTTGATTTCCTTGTCGAAACGACCTCCGCGACGTAGGGCTGCGTCCAAGCTGTCTGGACGGTTGGTGGCCGCCAGGACGATGACAGGCTTTCCGTCGGTCTTTTCGAGGGCCAAATCGTCCATGCAGGTGAGAAGTTGGGCGACGATGCGCTTCTCCATTTCTCGTTGGGCGCTTTCACGCTTGGGGGTGATAGCGTCGATTTCGTCAATGAATATTAAGCAGGGTGCGATTCTCTTGGCTTCTTCGAAGTATTCGCGGAGAGCCTTCTCGGACTCTCCTGACATGCCGGAGATGACGGATGGAGCGGATATGGAGATGAAGGGGACGCCCAGCTCGGCGGCGAATGCGTTTGCGATCATGGTTTTACCGCAACCTGGCGGACCATGTAGCAGAACACCGCGAGGAGGCTGAACATTGGATGACATGTAGACTTGTGGGCGCGTCATGGGCAGGATGACAAGATCCCCGAGCTCCTGCACGACATCGTCTAATCCACCCAGATCGGCCAGACTGATATGTGTGGGGGGAGAACGGTCGACTGCGGCCTCGGCCTTGCGGCGCTTGGAGGACTGCGATTCACCACCATGGTGCCGTTTCTTCGTAGAGGTAGAAGGTGGTGCTGCTGTTGACTCGGCGGTGTTGGATTCGCTCTGTTTCGAGGGCTTCGAGCTGTTGGTTGTATTCCACATACCGACCAGGCTCTTGTTGAGGCTGTTGGATTCCTGCTCCCGTCAGCTACCTCTCCATCGCTAGCCAAATTCTAAGCCGCTTCTGAAGGCAGGTACCCCATGAAGCGGCGCGCATGTCGCATACCGGTGCCGGTGGCTCCTCCAGACCTTCAAAGTCGCCGTCTATGGAGTCGTTCTCATCTTCCCCGAGGACGTCGGCTTTCAGCACTTCCACCACGCGCTCGATGCTGTCTTCGAGAATGCGCTTCGGCTTCCTGTTCAGGCTGGAATTGGACCGCTTGATGGTATCGTAAATGCTGGACACCGACAGGCGGAATTGGGCATTCTCTGCATTGTCGTCGATGATTTTGCGTACGATCTGGTAGATCTGTGTATAGCGAGTTTAGCGATAATCGCATTGATATGACCCGAGGGACGAGTCGCAGCACTTACATCCTTGTCGAGGCCCTGCCTCAGCGTCGGCCTGCCCCCACGACGCATCTTGAAATAGAGCAGGGGCTATGAATGTGATAATCGGGGGTGATAAAGATCCCCGCTGGCGATGAATTCCCACAATTTTAGAGACCCGGAGAATTGATGCGCCGGCGGAGAGCCCCAAAATCGTCTGAAAACACCGGCAGATTCCCGAGAATGTCACACTAGTCCCGATGGGGCAATAGGACGATAACGGACGTCATCTGCGGTGGACTCTCTCACTGCTCACTAGTTATCTATCATTCTATCACCGCCGGCCTTTGACTGCTTCCCCTCAAGCATCCTCGGGAACAAAGCAACATGCGCTGACAATGGGGAACACAAACAGCACCCATAAGATCTCTGCTCAGGACCGGTGAGTCTATCCATATTATTCCAATGGGGTTCGCCCTGTTGCTGCCTCCATCAGCGCCGACCGGCACGGGTCACGAGCCCCATTCTCCGTCTCCGACCGATAAACTAACGCTCTTAACGCTCAGGGCAATCCTTGACCTCAAGAACCAGCGAGACAAGCTCCACCAGTATCAGAAGCGAATTACCGTCTTGACAGACCGCGAAACCGACATCGCGAAACAATGTCTCGCCAGGAATGACCGCAAGCGCGCTTTGCTTGCCCTGCGTCGCAAGAAGTACCAGGAGTCGCTACTAGATAAGACCGACAAACAACTCGAGCAGCTCGAACAGCTTACGGGGCAGATTGAGTTTGCACTGGTTCAGAAGGATGTTCTTTTCGGCTTGCAGCAAGGGACCAAGGTCCTGCAGACCATTAACAAGGAGATGGGTGGTCTTGAGGGGGTGGAGAAACTGATGGGCGAGACGGAGGAAGCGAGAGCCTATCAAGAGGTAAGCTTTTATTGTCAATGGTTATCTGAGAAGGGTATTCTGGACTGAAAGCTGACGAGTTGGTGGTGGTTGTACAGGAAATCAGCGAGATGCTTGCTGGACGCTTGTCCACTCAGGATGAGGATGAGGTTGAAGAGGAACTGGAGGCTTTGCAGCGGGATACGCAGGGCCCGGTTGTCTTGCCCAATGCGCCCAGCTCCAAGCTCCCAGAGCACGTGGAGGGAGTCAAGGAGGACGAGCATGCCGTGGAAGAGGCCCAAGTCGAGGAGCGGACTGCTATTCCTGCTTGAGACTGTGCCATCCATACGATCTCTTTCTTTCGATATTAGCATTGCCGGCGTTGGTGGTTTCATGAATTTCAAGTATAGTATAGCATTGTTAGATATGTTTCGCTATTTGAACGCTAGCAACTAGACCGTCGAAACATGGATTGGCGTGCATTATCTTGATAGAGGCCAGCTCAATACCCAAGGCAATATCCGTAGCTTCTGATCAATCATTTTTAGTCTGTCACAGACCTCATACATTCCAGGCCAGCATATAGCCGCCCCATGTTCAAACAAACACTGAAATCCGATCCATATCACTCCCGCTCACAGAATCCTGCTCCCCACCCCATTCACACCCTGGATAGCAACATGATCACCCGGATTTGCAGCCGCCTCATACAAGAAACTGATCGGCTCCCTATTTAGGGCCATAAACTGTCCCTTAAAACCAATATACCCGACTTTGGTGACGTCTTCTTCCCCATCGCTCCAGTTATCCTCGAAGAACAGAGTGATGGAGGTAGTCGCGTTCCAATGCGCCCGGTTCAGCGGCAACTCGAAAACATCTGCGCCCGGCATAGGTTGGGGTATCTCGACTGTCTGCGTGGGCTTCAGGTCCGAAGCTGTTCCGAAGTCCAAATCGTCGCGATTCTTGAATAACTTTAGGGTCTTCGGGGCAGATGGGGTAGGAGCGGTGTATATAAGGAGGGAGTGGACTTTGACTTGGCCGGTGAACCTGGAATCATGGAATTTAGCAGCTCGCTCATGGATGATATGGTGATTATGGTGTAATAGACTGTTGAATGCTGGGTTTTGCGACAAGAAGCTGCTGAGATGAGGGGCACTTGGCGGGGTAAAATCCACATCAAAAACAGCAAATGCGGTCGATAACGACGACGATATCAAGGGGTATAACGTACGGAATATACATCAGTAGCTGCTCATCTGCGTCGCTTTCCAGCTCCGGTTCATCGTCGAGTCTTTCAGACCATGTTTTCTTAACAATCGCGGCGCCGGACTCGGGACTGGCCTCTGCAGGTAGGATCTCGGGTTAGCATGCACAGCACTACTTGCAGCAGGTGTTTATATCGCGTTTGGCCTACCGTTCAATGTAGTAATCGAGTCAAATTGGATTTGAGAGTAGAGGAGGGATTGGATGGCGGGGGTGATGTCGTTGGAGTGATCATGACCGTCTTCTCCGTGGCAATGGCCGCCGTGATCGTGGTGGTGGTGATGACCTGACATATTCAACTTGGAGATTTGGAAAAGACTGACACTGATTGATTTTATTTAGATGTCTGATTGATAGAGTATTGTAAACCTGCGGGCTGCAATGTGTTCGAGATTGTAAGGTTGGTTGACTTTTCAGAAGAAACAGAAAATGATGGTCTGCGTTGTTGTTCTTCGGCGAAAGGACCGTCTGGCTGCTGCGAAATGATGCGCATCACGATCCAGGTGACCGAATGCTCGTTTCATTCACCACCCAGGTACGCTTTACACCTGTAAGCATTTATTGATTATTATGGTCCGCTGGAATAGCAGATTTTACTGGTACTGATAAATTCTACAGGTAACAGAAAGAAGGAACATGCATCTCTAATATTCTATAGAGGTCAACGCTGGCGGGTATAGTACAGGCAGGTATGTCGTCAATTACAATCACTAATAGGTTCACCGTCATATAAATCCCATCAAGGTACACTCTGTACCCGACACTTCAATGGACCTGGTAGTAGTTGGGGGCATATTCGAGGAGGTAGTTCTTCTCGATCTTAGTGATATCGCGGATGAAGGTCTTCTCGCCGGTCTGTAAGATCTCATGGAAGATGACCCAGTCGGCTTTCCGATTCTGTATAGCCCAGTTAGCGAATGGTCGAAAATATAGTACAGAAATCTAGATTGCCAACATACAAACATCAATGAACTCGGGTGAGCATGGAGAGTCAGGCCTCCGCTCACCGTCTTGAAGGTACCATCGGGCTGCATCTTCGCGGCGTGTGCGAAATAGCCCGTAGTAAGACACCTACGAATCTGTTCCGCAAGTTTACTTGGGTCTTCTTGCCGAGACCGTGCGGAGAGAGTCTCGTCGACCTGGATTCCAAAACGCTCAAGATATCGCTTCAACTGGCCCCGAATGCTCACAGCCCGCTGCAAAGATCGAAAGTTCAGAAGATTGTCCCGGCACCATTTGGACTCCTTCTTTCCTTTGGTGATAAACGCTTGGTACACGTTAAGGTACGTTAGGTGATCCCCCTCTTCAACTGCGAACTTTCTCCGGTGGCTCTCCGATGACTTCCTGTCGCCTTCATGCTGGACCCATACGGTCCCCTGAAGGCTCACCATGGCAGCAATAGAGAGGATCTCACTTAAGCAGTTGAAAGATGGCGCTGATAGCAGCACCTTTGCCATCATTGGATCGACTGCCAGCTCTGCCATGCGCATCCCATGGGGCTTTGTGAGTTTAGCATAGTCATCAACTGCTCCCAAAGAGTACAGCAGCTCAAATGCGCGAATAACAAGCTCTGTAGGAGGGGGAGTCAGGAAGTCGAATCGTACGATATTGTCGATACCCAAAGCCTTGAGCTGCATGATCACAGGTGCTAGGTTTGACCGCTGGATCTCCGGAACGGTGGCCTCGGGGAGTTGCTCATAGGCCTGCTGTGTGTAGAGGCGGAAGCACTTCCCAGGTTTGGTACGCCCAGCTCGACCAGCACGCTGAACAGCCGCTGCCTTCGATATGGGCACTGCGGTCAATGTCTCTATGCCAGTCTGCGGGTTATAAGCTCTCAGTTTGGCGAAACCGCAGTCGATGACATACACAATCCCGTTAATAGTAACAGATGCTTCGGCGATATTGGTCGACACGATAACCTTGCGGGTGTTTTCTGGTGTCGGTTCAAACACGTACATTTGCTGGTCTGTTGTGAGGCCAGAGTAAAGGGGCAATGGAAGTATACTCTGCGCCTTGGGATGTAGCGTTGCGGCACGTTCAGCGATCATCTGCACCGTTGTATCTATCTCCTCTCGGCCAGTCAAGAACACCAAAACATCACCTTCCGCCTCTTGAAGATGGATGTCGAACACGGTTTTGACTGCGCGTTCGACATAATCTTCCGCAGGGTTCTCGAGAAAGAGCATGTCCACCGGATACATGCGACCTTCTAGACTGATAATCCTTCCCACCCTGCCGCCGATTTCACTGGATTCCGGACTGCTGTCAAACTCCTCACCAGCGAAGAATCGCAGAAAGTCTTCAGCTTGCAAGGTTGCACTACTGACCACAATCCTAAGCTCCGGCCTTCGTTTCATGATCTTTTTCAGGATACCCAGGAGGATATCAGTACTGAGGGACCGCTCATGAGCTTCATCCACCATGATTACAGAGTACCGTGACAGCAGAGGATCTACGAGTGCCTCCCTAAGTAGCATTCCATCTGTAAGGAACTTGATCCTGGTGGAAGCCGAGGTCAAGTCCTCAAAACGAATTGAGTAGCCCACCTCTTCGCCGAGCTTGCAGCGCATTTCCTCGGCTACCCTAGCTGCCACCGTGGTAGCAGCCACCCGACGCGGCTGGGAAATATTAGTTTTTCCTTTTGCATCCGAATTGGTTTGAAGGGAAAGACATACCTGTGTCACGGCTATGGCCTTTCCATCTGCACACCATCCTGCTTGGTCGAGATAGTGGGGTAGTTGGGTTGTTTTCCCACTTCCTGTTTGTCCAACGACAATGGTCACCGGATATGTCTCAATCAGGTACAATAAGCTCTGCTTGTGTCTTGCGATTGGAAGCAATGCGGCTGGCTTGTATAGAGCCGGGATAAAGCTGGTGGACAGATCCAGCTCGGAAGCCATTGCGATTGGGCCTTGAATGATAATGAACCTAGGAGGTGATTTGCAGCACCGGTTCCAGCCAGGGGCAAGCTATTATTGCGCTAGAAATCCCCAGGTAAGCATACTGAAATAGCAAATTCCGTGTCAGCTGCGCAAGCCCTGCACTGCCAAAATTGAACCCAGAGTCTACTTGACGAAGTAGATATTGTTGGAAGCACCTGCAGCAGTGCTTACCTAAGCACCGGGTCCATCACGTGGCGCAACGTCACTCCGCGGGCATCGGAAGTGCGAAGGGGGCTGAGAGGCTCCGAAGCTCCAATCGCATCATCCCCAGCTTGCTTTCTGCCTGTTGGGCAAATTTCCTGGTCGCATAAATACCCTCAAGGCCTGCGAAAGCTTGGCACTCTTCTCCACCTTCTAGACTTCAAGTTTACACTATTTCAACGCTGCCTAAGTTGCTCTCACGATGTCGGAAGAAGACAAGACTGTAGGTTGTCCTCTATATCCGCTCCTTATACCTCACGCCCGGCCACTCACTCGCAGCCAGACTCCCAATAAACTGTCCACTGGACCGCTCAGTCCCAAACCCGAGTCGCCGACTACCGCGCGCCCTCTAGATTTCGATGATGAACCTCAGGAAACCGGTGTCACTGCAGCGCCGTCAACAGCCCCTACTCAGCAGGGCGCTGCGGAAGCTGCCCCGCCTAAGCCACCCCGCCCATTGAGCCCCCGTCAACAGGCCGAGAATACTCTCAAGGAAGCATTCCCCTCTATCGAGGCATCGGTGATCAAGGCAGTGTTGGTGGCCAGTAACTGGGATGTGGAACGGTCATTCCATGCTTTGCTAAGTACGTGTGGATTGCGAACAGACAGTACTGCTATGCGCGGTCACTAACAAGTCCCTTTAGGCATGACGGACCCCAGCGCTGCCGAACAAGATGCGCCGCCTCCGAAGCCACCACGCCCAACTGCTGCGCAGAGGCAGCTAGAAGCGGATGAGATGTATGCCCGTCAGCTGGCCGAGCACTACAACCGTCCTGCGCGCCAACCTCGTTGGGACAACGAGTACCCACAGCAGCGGCCGCGAAGGGGAAGCGATGGATCGGAGGAGAAAGAATACAGCTTCTTTGACGGTTGGTGATACTGGATCCTTCACTACGTTATCTTGGTCTCTAACAGCTGGCCTGTATAGATGATCTCCCGGTGATCCGTGAGAACCTTCGCAAAGGATTCTTAGATACCCAGACAAAGGTCAACTCCTGGGTCCAGAACCTGAAGAAACGCCTCGACGGCGAACCCGAGGCCGGTCCTTCTGGTCAAGGCCAGCCCGAAGAGAATTATGGTAGACCTAGACGAAGCGGAGACCTAGGTCGTCGGAGCGGCGATCGCGAACGCTACGACGCCGATCACCGCATCCTAAACGACGACTTTGCCTCACTTGAACTGAGAGATGCGGAAGGTATTTTGACC